AGAAAACCTCCTACCAAATTAGATTCAGAATCAAGTATATTTGATAGAAGTATTTTGATATCTTCAACAAAACACTGAGTTTGATCTATGTTACAATATGTTGATTAAACAGTAAGACTGTGCATATAGAAGAAGAGTATAGGGCTCTAAGTTAACAATGACTTATGTAATGTTTACCATATGGTTTATCACTCAATATATCCTATATACCAATAGTCAACATTCTAGCTCCAATATTATATACATTGATACATAGACTTGAAATTGTCGAATGTTAAAGTTCAACTTTTTGGCGCCATTCAACTCTCCATTTTTGTCTTTCACAAAAATTCATACAACTTTGATGATTTCAATGAGTTCCAGCTGTCATCATGATATCTGTCTTTTTCTACACTTTTGGTGAAAGCTGATTTTGATGACTTGAAATTGCACATCCTTGCTCACAGAAACCTTTTGAGCTTACAAAAAAACAAAATATCATGCTTAAGTTCTTACAGAACTATTTCAGAAAATCGCTCCATGATGAATCTAACTTGTTGATCTAAAATGCCAAATAAAATCAAATGTACCAGAGTTATATTGATAAGAATGATTGAAAAGAGGTCAGATTGGTCTCTGTGATTTCAATTAGTTTCAGGTTGTACCAACTGACAGACGGCCACTGACATACTGACTTACTTTTTTATTTTTCACTGAAAATAGCAGATTATTCCCTCAAAACAATTCAATAGATAGTAGTTTCTAACAATGTCTTAATGTGATTTTACTTCTCAAGGCTGCAACCAAAGGATGTAAGAAAATAAAATTCTCAAGGGTCTCAGGGTTATTCTAATGCATTTTTTATGAACAAGAACTGCATGGTATTGAAAGGCATGAAGTCATGACCTATTCCAGAAAATATTTGCAATGAAGTATGTTTAAATCTCAAAAGAACAGTTTGAAAGTTATCTAATTTGATAGATATTAAAAATATCTCAACAATAAAATTCAGATCTGAGAAAACTTTACACTTGTATTCATATTGATATCTGATACATAAATTTATAGCTTTAGTCATGATTAAAATATAATACCCTATCACGATTAAATAATCACATTAGTTCAAATTCTTATCCAATTTACATATTGTCACCCTTTAATATGATCTTGATAATAAAATTTCAAATTCTATTCAAAAATCAAAAAATGCAAGTTTCAGATTACCGCACATTTTCATATTCAATTTCTTTCTTATTTAATTGAGTGCACGCTTGATAAGGTTTGCGATATAAATTGAAATACAATATCTCTATATTACATCATATAATAAGTCTGACAACTTGCGATTAAAATAATTTCGACAGATGCTTAGTCTGATTGTCCGAAAAGACACCTAACAATAGAGAAGAAAAAGGAGAAGATGGAGATGAATAGGTTTATTTAAGCATGTAAAGTTTTCAGTGAGCTAGATCCCTTTGTAAACAAGTCGAGCGTTCAATATCTCAAATATCTAGACAGCCCTTCAATTGATAATATCGGTAGAAAAAAAATCAACAGATAATCGTATGTATTAATTCTCAAATCACTGGAGGAAAATTGTCGCCACATTCCCTAACTTACTTCTCAAATGACAGAGAAATGTTAAAAAGATCAGGTGATAAGGAGAAATTATTTTCTATTGGCAATAAATCATCATATTCCCATTGTACCCAAATAATACACATGGCAACAATGAAAGACTTGTAATAAAAATGGAAACTGATAACCGAAAGTTCAATCTTACAGGAAATTTAGCTATATCAGTTTATACAATTAATATAAGTTTCTAAGTTTCAGATTAAATAACTTTCCTTACTCTTGTTGCTATAAGATACTTTTTCCAGGAAAAAAAATATGGATCAGAAGATTTGAATCATCGTATTTCAATAATTAATTTTTTTAACCTTGAATATTGAGCATTGCACAGGAAAAGAGAACTATGGGTTGGAGTGAAAATTGAAAAGGTTTTGGGTTTCAATTATTCTTCAGATAATAGTCAGAATGGAAAATTAATTAACAACAGTTGAAATCCTCTCTAAATCTTCACTAATTCCAACCAACCCACTAATTATTCAAGTCAAGTGATTATTTGGTCCAACTTGCAACAATAAAGGAAAGAGAATCCATTATAAGATTAAGAGTCGTGTCGATTTGTCTTTCTCTTCTCATCAATATATTATTGGTGAATGTCAGAGTTGTCCCTGCCTGTCCCCTGGGGACCTGACCAACACTCAGTGATTGGTGGAAAGTCTCCAATTCAAGTCTTTGTCAATAAATCAATGAAAGAGAGTTGTCAAATTTGGTATCTCAGGAGGCTAACACAAGATAAAATTCTATTGATTTCAGCTGCTTTTGCGTGTCTGAGTAATCCCTGTATATAAATGAGTATATTATTTTGTCTCTTATCAAAATTTGTTTTTCATATCAAAGAGACAAATTGATTTTACAAATATACACTGCATAATTACTGAGTCAATAAAACTATGTACAAATGTTCTCCCAAATTTCATATACAATTGCTTAAAGAAATGATTCTCCAAAAAAAAAAAAACTTCAGAAAAATGGCCATGACACAATTTATAATGATCATGTCATTGTTGATAAAATATTTAATAAAATTTTTTCCATCCTTTTCACACCGTTTGAGTTATTTATCATCTTGTTTGCATTATATCAAATCAATACAAAATCACTATCTCCATCGGAAAGCCTTCAAAAGACTGAAATTTTTGTCATGTGAATAGCAAAGCTTTCAAAGCTGGGTTTGATTTTCTAATAGATTTTGTGTCAGTTTCAACAAACGAAACCTTCAGATAATCAATTGGTCAGCAAGATGGCAAATCTCTTCTGAAATTCTTCAATAAAATCAATAAATTCTTTTTAGAATTCCAATCTAAAGTCACGCCAAGATATCAAATCATTTCTATTCGACGTTTTTATATTTATTGAACATGTGTTTACGCTGTGAGAAATCTTTTCAACATGTTTTTTTTTTTAAAATGAGCAGCATTTGTTTTGGAAAGAATAATTTCAGATCAATAAAACGCCTCATATTGAACTGTAAATGATCAATACTTTATATGGCCAGATGCCACAAAAATAGTGAACAGACCTACATTACTTTTTGTCCATTGATCAAATCAATAGATCAATTAATTTCAATCCAATCTTTTTTTGTTTTTTTCAGGAAAAAAAGAGTAGAATATCCAAGATATTGAGTGATGACAAAACTAAAATCACGAAATAGATATTCACTCTTGTTAATAAAATAAAATGGTAATTTTATAAATACTTAACAGTATTCGATATCAATATTGCAAAAGCTCCTCATTATAAGCGCTTATGTTTAGTGAAATTGCAAGACCCACAAATGTCTGACTGAAAATTTGAATGATGCACATTAATGCTATCACTGTCCAAATGCAGACAAAAGTATAGAAAACCTCTTTACAATCCCTTTAATACAAATCAATAATAAAAAATTATTTTTCAAATATTGAAATCATTTTTCAATAGAAAGTTGTTTATGCCCAGATGCAACAGAATTGAGAGAAAAAATACATTAGTTGTTATCCTTAGAAATTACTAATCAATAAGAGAATTAATCGATAATTTTTAACTCAATTTGTCCATTTGATTCAATCATCATCTGTGGGTGAAATGAAAGTTGTACCAAAAGACGAAAAAATCAATATAACTATTGTGTCAAAAAGAAATTATTGATTTTCAAGGGAGTCTTGTGTCTATAACTCATAAAGACTGATCAGTAGGAAGGATGGAGAGAATGATGATAGAAAAACTTTGTCACATTATATTCTCTTCTGTCCTCCACTTTCTTTGTGTTCATAATACTCAGCTTTCACACGATTGAAGCCAATCGATACAAAATAGGAAAATTAACTTTCAATGCAGCTAAAAAACATGAAATGTCACAGATCTTAACAATATGATTAGCTTTACACAGTGTTCACCTATTGTTCACCAAATCAATATACAGCCACCAACATCAATTGAATTCCTGTTCCCGGATTCTCTCATAATACAAGTACATTAGTAACATTGTGTATTGACAAATATACCATAGAATTGAATTCTTACAAAAATCACAAATCTCAGTCAGCTTCATCAATAAGCTAATAGACATGAAAAGAACATTGATGCAAAAAACAAGGATGGGTTTCGAAAATCTATTTATTTTATTGATTCTTTATACCTTTTACATCATCTTCCTTTAAAATATCCAACAATCAATATTTAGAAACACTGAGTAATATTTAAAATGGAAATGAAATGAAAGCTCTTCAAATTCAAAGTTTTTCCGCCTTCCTATATAAAATCAATCAAAATAGATTTTTACCAAGAATAGATGATAAAGAACAAAGATCAAGGATAAAGAAATAATTTTTAAAAAGTTTAAGACAATATGGGCCAATAATGATGAGCTGATAATCATAGGCTGATCTTTAAAAGTGAGATTACAGCATGAAGCAACAACAATTTTAATAACCATGGAATTTCCAGCGTTTTGGTAATCTATAGATGTTTTTGCTTTAACAATCCCCCTTTATGATTGAACATCTTATAACCTAAAAGCTAATTAATGTCAAGCCTTTATATTTGACATGGTTAAACTTCTGAGTAATTCTTTGTGAACCAGTTTTATTATGTCTTTGAAATGAAAGATTTCAAAAGATATCATGAACATAGCAGATTTTCTTGCATCTTGAAAAGTCATTAAGATTTGGTAATTTGGGGAAATTATGTAAGTGAAAATCAGTTGGCTTTAATTACATGCTGAATGCCTCTCTCTATATTGATCATTATATGAATGATTATAACTGCAATGAAATCTGTTTTCTTATTAATATCTTCACCATCCCCCAGCATTTGTTTAACTTATATAAATTTTTAATTAGTTTTATTTTGAATCAATTGCCAGTACTGAAAACTAAAAATCAGAGGTACATTATTCAATGAGGTACCTGCTTTCCTTTTGAAGTTTTGGCTCTTGGAACCATATTTTTTTTATGTGTTAGAACCTGAAATGATGTTTTTTTACTGCATGTTGTTTAGATAGTGCTTCTGTTTCAATTTAGACCATTTCCCACTTTTTCCACTTTGCAGTAAAATTTTCCAAATATTGATGCCTGAAATCATCTTTATTTTTTTGGAGGGAGAAAAATTCTATTTATATTGCAAAAGGATATACTTCAAGGATAAGTTGTTTCATTAAGAAGTAACACAAATAAAAACGTCAATTTATCAATTAAACCTATTGTTTTTATGGCCTCAAGATTTAAGGGAAATACAAGGTACACAACATGTCAATTATTCATACTTACTACCTATTGCTAGTATTAGTATCTAGTACATCACTACCAATGGACACTAAGTGTAATTGCTGGTTTATGGTGTTATTGTTTATCTGTGAAGTTATGGGTAAACAAATAAACAACAGTTGTAAAAATCAGTGATAAACTTGTCCAACAAACTCCTATCTCTAGGTCTGGTAATCATTAATTGTGGACTTTTGCATCTGATAACCATTGTTAAGCCTGTCTTTAATCTTTCAAAGCAACTAATCAATGTGTGTTCTTAAAGGTACTTGATACTCGAAAATTCGGATTGTAACTAATTCTTTAGAAATGCATGTTTATCAGAGATATTATATAGCATAATGTGCAGATCATTCTGGTACAATTGACCTACATCATTAGTTCAAAATTTACATTTTTTTTTATCCATCAATTTTGTACCTAATTCTGGCAGTAATTTTACAAATTTTATTTCAATTCAGATGATACTTCTTGTTTATTTCCATTAGTCAACTGGTAAATCAGTTCTTATAACATCTAATAACTATCTATTCATATTCAAGAAACATGTGAGATATTATTACCGGAACTTTCATAATGTTTGTGATCTGAAAACAATGCATTTGGCCATAACAAAACAATGCTGTATGCATTCAACTTCAAATGTCAATCTTCACATCAAATCAGAATTAGAATTGCAAATAGCACGAACAAACTATCAAAGAATGAAACAAAAGCCATAATGATTTATTTGAACTTACATGTTAAAGCTATCAGTATGCACAAAAAGACTTTCAGAATTTAAGATATGTCAACTCTGGTTTTAATTAAGAGGTGCACATGTGCATAAAAAATGAAACAATTGATAAACTTTTACTTAATAGGAAAGAGTTAATCTAATGCATATTTCATGTCCGTGTGACTCACAAGATATAATGGGTTAAATTCACATTATCTACTCCTGTCAATTTGCCAAAAATAACTAAATCAACAAATCACACCACAATTCTATATTTGTACCACATTTTCCATAAAATGATCTTTGACTGAGGATATGAGTAAGAGCCAAAATAATGTCGATTTTCAGGACTCAGACATAATTCTATTGGATTTTTTATTTAAAAATATCAAGTGAAACCATACTTTTCAATCTTTCATCTCTCTTTCTTGATCAGTTTATCAGTGGGTTATTATGCCTAAAGACACATTTGTGTATAATCTTATCAGCTACAGTCTTATTGTGAGGTGTCAAGTTTAAATGGTTCATTATGTTGGAGAGATATCCAAGTAAAACCTCGTGGAAAGAGTAAAGAAAACACTCTCCACTATAGTAATCCTTAGTTCATCAACAATTCCATACCACACACTTCTCTTATTTACTAACAAATCACACATTGTTTACAATCCGATTCTCAAATCGGAGCATAGAGCCTAACCCCTTCATGACATCACTACCAACTCCACAGCTGCAAAGTGGTAGACTTGATAATTTACTTGTCAGCCAACTATAGGTGTCAAATTACATGTTTGGTTCCAAATTTCATTTTCAGAATTGGCCAATAATTGTCTAACAAAAATTGACAAGTATACATCACTAAAATGATCATAATGATGTTTTCAAAACGAACAGAATGTTGACAATTTACAAATACTTACCGCATAAGCTCTCAGAATTATTTACGCATGATTAGTTCAAGTGATGCTGGAATCTAGAACAAAGACTCCGATACGCTATCGGCCATATTGATTTATCGTTGATACTTCATCAATATCATCTCAATGTTTAAAGGTCTACAGCGCACGTCATGTGTCGACCGAAGCAGACAATAAATCGTAAATATCCTCACTTCTAATATGCTATTTTGCAATTAATGATATAAATAAATTACTAACCTGTAAGTCTTGCAAATCAAAAGTCTTCCAAAACTGACACATAGACTGCACATTCGCAGCCATCTTGAACGGGATTATGGCCCGATCGATTGATCACATGACCCGTTAGATCGAATTTACTCTCCAACCAAAACAGTTTACAAGTAAACACACTTATTCCAGCGAACTAGAACATTATATACACTTAAACATTCAAGGAAATACAACTTAAATCCATTTAAAATCAAGACGATTTAATTTTGTTGACTGTCACTCACTGTATAACTTTCAGAAATGATAAAGCGTCGTTCCACTTTAGCAGGTGCGCGGAGGCTAGAAAATCAATATGGCAGCCTACAGTAGTTGGCGGTCAAGATTAAATAATCTTCAATTTTGTAAGCAATTGAGAGAAAATAATGGAAAAGAATCCCACCAGCTTACTAACAATACCAAGCATTTAATATCTGTCATTGATGGCGATTTGTATGCCTGGGACAATTTCTCCGCGAATATTATTTACTTCAATTTGAAAACATTGCTAAACACAACCGGTGGGGATGAAAACAATGAAACTTCTTCTCAAAGACATCAGGTAATCATTTATATAATATGAATGAAGGCATGGCCTTGAATGAGAGTGCAGGTTAACGATAGAATAACAATAATTAATAATAATTAAATAAAAGAAATTCAACCTTATCTGTATGTAATGCAAACTATTTTGTCTTCTAAGCATATGTATGAAGGTAATCTTCTATGAATATAAGATGAAAGTAATCATCTCTATAACGATGACGTCATTATAACATGGCGTATGATGTCAACAAAGCCGCCATCATTGCTTGGTAAAAAGACTTGGGAAATTAGGTCAAAGCTGTCAATTTATTCCTTATGAAGCATAGAGAATATCCAGGAAAAATAAAAATAAAATGTAAGGGTGTTAAGTTGCTACAAAACATCCCTTTCTGTGTTTGAAACAATTGTTGTAATTTATTTAAAGAATTCCAGAATATTCACTCCGAAACTACCCAGATTTACTGCAATCTAGTTGTCAACAAACATGGCGGCCCCCATGATCCGCCATCTTTTTTCTCACTTTTTTTTTGACTACCCGTGGGGCATAAATTTTCTGAAACGAATTGATGTATATGTATGTGTTACCATTATAGAAGCCGTCGAGAGAGCTACGCTCTGATATAAAGTAGATTGATCTAAAAGCATGTTGGGGAAGATTAGCTTTCAATTCTCGCATTTTAAAATCTAAATTGAATAAATATTCAGCCAAGATGTTAAATTTTTGCTCAAAACTATGTCAAATGAAGCCTAATCATGTATCGAGCTTAGGATATTATTAATGTGGATATATACCATTTCGGTAGTTGTCATCAGAATAGATCAAAATCAAAGGCTTAAATTATCATCTAATTTGATTATATATCTGTAGAAAAGGATTGTGTTGATTAAAAATGATTGATATTTTCCATTTTTCAGACATTACTTTGTACCAATGCACCAACATATGAAGTTGAAGGCCTTCTATTCAATTTATCCGGAAGTCACATTGCTATATGGGGACATGGTGGTATCCATGTAATTGAGTTGCCAAGAAGATGGGGGAAATATGCAGAGTTCGAAGGAGGGAAAAGTGTCATTTCCTGCAGGTAAAATTTGTGGATATTATTCTACTGCTATCATGTACTATATTGTTTGTTATTACCTAGTTGTAGACATTGTAATAAATGGATAACCTATAAGTTTAAGGGATATAGTTGTCTTAGTATATCCCTTTTTAACTGATAAGAGTTCAAATTGTTCTTCCATACTTTTAATCTCTAATTCATTTTCATCTCTTCAGTACTTCAAGAAACATTCCAAAATGATTCTGACAATAGACATCCTCATTCCAATCAGGCTACTAATGTTGTTTGATAACAAAAGCAAATGTTATTACAATTGGTATGATTAATGCATAAAGTAATGCTATTTTTGTCTTCTAATAAAGTTCTATGTTGGTATTAAGGAGATAGTTCACATTTGTGCCATTATCTGAACACCTTATGCATGTTAGGCACTTTGAATTATTTCACTTCACATTATAAGCATCTTACAATTGTTGTTAATTTTTCAGGACCATATCTGTAGCAGAACGATATTGTGTGAGTCAAGGGGGGGTTAAAATTCAACAGATAGCTTGGCATCCTGGTAGTTCTACTGATAGCCATTTAGTAATTCTGACTTCTGATAATATACTAAGGTATGCTTTTGGGTATTTTTGAAGGACTATTTTCTTTTTAAATAAATTGCAGGTTGAAAAGAGACAATACTATGTTGTGTATGCTTGAGAATAAAGTAAAACTTTGGATTGACAAGACAAAAGCCTTGCCAGACATGAACCTTAAAACCTTTTCGATCCGATTGATTTGATATTTTTAGCTGACATTTTTACTCAACATTTTAAGCTGACATTTGGACTTGACATTTTTAGTTGATGTGTCTTGAGATTTTGATATTGCCTGTTATTTCTTGTACATGGACATATAGTCTTCAAAACAAGGCCATATTTATCGTTTAATATTTATTTTTTCAGTGTGTATGACATGACAGAACAGAACAAAGCATCTCAAACTATCAACTTAGACAGCATTCATTCTGATCTCAACATATCACCCACTAAAATATCATTCAGTGCTGCCCTTGGTGAAAGAGCTGTAGCTTTTGACTTTGCTAAGCCTATAGAATTAAAGCCTAAAAAGAAGGTTTTGGGTATACAACCAGATGAGACAGATAATATTGTTTGGCCAGTTTATCTTGTAAAAGGCAATGGCAATGTATGTATTGCTTATACAACTACCTTGATGGATAGGTAGGTTTATATATTATTTATAGTCATAATGTGAAAAGCACTGAAAGAGCTCAAATCAGTGTTATTTTGTGTTTTGAAAGAAAGAAAGAACCATGTTGGTACTTGGCCAAGCCTCTTAGCATAAATCGTTCCAGAAATAATCACTCAACAGACTCTCACATGAAAAATGGATAACATGACTCTTAGGCTCAGATTTACTTCGTTAAAAAGGAATAGAACAGCTTTTATCTGTAGTTCTCCCCATTTCATAAATATCCTTTTTAAACAGTATCAACATGCTAAAAAACTCTAAACAGCTTTTTTTTCAAATCAGATAAGAATAGATGTCTCTTTCAATCATCTTCAAATGATTGTCATATTTTTGTATTGCAGAGAAATCAACTTGCCAGTTCAAGGCCCATTAATGATGCACCCTCCTGCTGATGATAATTATGGTGTAGATGCTTGTGACATTATATGCTTAAACACAACTCCATCTTTATTTGTGATTGTAACTTGTGAAGGCAAACTGCACCACTGTTTATTACTTCCCTCCAATGATAATGATTCATCTGTTCATGTGAGTTTTACTTTCAGAGATTAAGGCACAAAGTTGTCAAATTTAAGATAATACCTTGGGATTTCTGAATTCTGTTTTCCTTTATAAGCAGTATCAGTGGGTTTTTTAGTCTGTTTACTTCTGTCAGTGATTTAGGTTGGAAAGTTGTATATAGAAAAAGTGTCATTGATTTAATAATATCTTGAAGCCAAATGCTAGTCTGTGCTTGTTTAAGACTCCTTGACAGTTGAACTTCATGACACAGTAAACTTAAATAGTTCCCCTGCAAAAGCTGTCCTCTGCATGGCACTGCTTGTTTTAATAATTTTCTTAGAATTGCGCTTTATTAAGGTTCATTATATTTTCAGTTTGAAACCAGTAAGCTATCAAGTGACAGTATTCTGTATGAAACATTAGAAGAACCAGCACTGTACGTCATTGAAAGTGTGGAACTAGAACTGTCTTTAACTACACCTCAATATAATACAGAGGAACTATCATCTGATGATTTTACTTGTCCTGTTAAATTACAGAGAGGTAGGTTATTATACATTATAAAATTTCAACTAGTTTCTATTAAGTTCCCTATTTAATTTGAATTGTTATCAGATGTGTATTATGATCTTCAAGGGTAAACCACATAAAAAAACCACTAAAAAATCCCCTTTTAGATTGTGACATACCTCCAATTGTAATGGTTAACGCTTTTAACATTCATATGAATTTATTTAGGGATTTGCTTTAAAGTTATCTTGTATTTATGTCACTGTCACTCATAGAGTCATGTGTAAGACATTAACTGAATTTTACTTTTCTCGTTGCAGAAATAATTGCCTAAATAGCTCTTTAATTATAATTATTATTCTTTATTATGGATAATTTGTCTTTATTAACCGAAAAAGTTACAGCAGAACATTAATCTCTTGTTCCTTTTGTGTCAAGGTTGCGGTATTTTTTTTGTACAGGTCTTACCCTAGTTTGTTGATGACAAATTAACGTCCGCTTACAGCTTACTGATTTCACAGTTTATGCTTATTCACTTAACCTTAATGCACCACTATTACATCTCAAGGAATAGTCCACTATTTCACAGGTGGTGATTAATCATATTTCATGCATGTTTAAATAACCCCTTATAATATCTAGTGAACTGCTACTGCTTTTATAAGCCCATGTTGTATGTATGTTAATGTAGAATTATTATTGTCAACACCCAAGTCCTTTAGTTTTCAACTGATTTTCATGAAACATAGTAAAGGAATCTATTTTCACCAAATGAATGCCGGTTGTGATTTTCTTTTTTTTTCAAGGCCACTGTATTAGCATTAATATCCTTGACTGACTTTTGTACACAACTACTTTTACATATCTCTGTTTCTGCCATTGACAAATGTACTCAGAGACAAAAAAATTGGTTTTCTTAATCTTCTTTCTAAACTTTTGTGTTTGAAGAGGAAAATTATTCCATTCAATTTATACGACCAAAAACAGCATTGGCTTACACTTAGAAAGTTGTGATTGACATTTTATTCTTGAAGCCAAAATCAGATCATTCATGGATTCAGTTGATCTAACTGATGCTTTGCAACCAATTGGAACCATCTTGCCAATCTGGATCATATTCAGAATTTCATGTGGGGACACTCTTTCATGTAACCAATAATCAGCAGACAGGAATAATGTTGAACTGTCATCTGAACTGTTATTGATAGGCCAGATTTATTTAATAACAACATGACAATAATAAAATATTTTCACTGTTAAAATAGAGCTCAATTCATCAATTGTAGAGCGATATAGAAATAACAGCATAATTCAAGTTTTAGTTTAATTTTTCTAATAACATTTATATCCATGTTAGTTGTCTTTATGCAAAAACTAGAATTTGATTTGGCATCATTATGGCTACCATTAGCCACGTTACTCATTAAAAAACACTAGGATGACTATGTCTTATTCTTACACTAAACTGAATTCTAATCATTAAATACAGTAAACTATTTGATATGAGTGTTTGTGACATGATGTCACTAGACACTGTCACATTGACGATTATATGATAGTTTTTACCAAGTTAGACAATAATAAATTTATTTTATTGTGATGGTTAGGAAATTCTGATAATGTATATATTGACCCTTGAGGTCATCTTAACACACTAATCTTGTGTAATATAAAATTTCTAATGGATGCAAATATTTGAAAGAAGTGACAAGAGATCTATCTCATGGACAATGTTGATAGCTATAAAAATCTAGGCGTAGTTGAATTGTTGTCGATTCTAGATGATTCTGTCATCTTATTTTGACTGCTATTAGAGATAGAACTCTGATATTTTTTAAACACTTATACAAAACATATATTTCAGTCACTTCTAAGCACCTTTCTGTGAAAAAATGAACATGCTGCATATACATGTATTCAAGGTTATTTCTATGGTGAAAAGGAATTTTGGGTAAATTTATGTATTACATGCAAATATAAACAAGAATAGTGTTTATAAATTTAAAAAAAAAAACACTTTATTTAAAAAAAAAATTCCTGCAAAAATGAAATCCAGGGTGTTGTAACATTGGAATCCTTATGATGGAGTACAGAAATGATATGCATCAAACAAAATTGTGCCCTTTACCGATATAATAATTTTCAATTTATTCTAGTACCTTATTCAATCTAATATTGACTGAATTTCTCTAATTTAGCATATCAATAAAACTTTATTTTCTAAAATTAAAATCGACTACAAGTAAAGTGGCAACTGAATTGATTAAAAAGTAGGACTTCCCTCTTCAAATCCTTCCTTCATGATTGAAGAGCTAGTTGCATAATAATCACTTTTCTTATGAAAATATTTAATTTGTTTCAATGAGTTGAACTCGACCCTGATCAAGACAATAAAGATAGAGGTTTTCTTTGGGATGAGGGTGAGATTTTCAAAATCAAAGTGGTTGAAATTTGCTAAAAAGACACCCAATGCATTTATGTCAATAATGTTATGGAAATTTCGAATGCTACACCAAAATAAATAAATGTTGAATCAGGGCTGTCAATATCGGTCTTATTTTTCTTTTGATATTAAGATGACAATAGTGAAGTATCACAAAACTTATTTAATGTGCCTGAATCTGTTATGTGTGAAAATGGCGTCCAATTTCCCTTCCTAAGAAACTTTCATATTATCATTTAGAACATATGGATATGCTCCTTTGGATGGTATATTCACAATGTCAAGCTATTACAAACTGCATCCATTTACCTTGATTGTATTAGTTACCTATAGCAATTAGCGAATACAGCCAATCAGAGCCCTTAAGGCTTATTGTTGACAGATTTTAGCGTACAATCCAATCAAATCACTGCATTTACATACTTCTTTGGCTATTACATCAAGGTATAAGACAAAGTTTGTAATAGCTTGACATGGTGAATATGCTAGATTGGATATACATTGTGTTACAGCAATGATATAAAATGTCCTAACAACTCTAATCCTTGCCATCGCTGGATACAATCACGTCAGAATTGACTATTGTAATGCTTTTACACTATTCAGTAAAGCATTTTTCACCAAAGAATTGCATTACATTTTGATATAAGGATAGTTCTTAAAAATAAAATTTCTATGTACATTGTCAATTGTAAACTGCTTAAAAGTGTTGGACCACCCCCTTTAACTAGATTCTAAGAAATTTAAAATTCAGCATGGTACTGTTACTATTATATTATAAAGTAAATAATTAACTAATATTGTTCACAGGTGTAACTCTTTTCAATATTCAAATTACTTTCACCTAGACCCTCTGCACTTCTAGTCTTCAAATATTGAATTTTTACACTTTTTTGTTAAAGATTCATGTAATGTCACTCAAAAAATGATTCATACAAAAACCATAGACTTAAATCACAAGGATACAACAGATATATACCAATCCATATTATTGCCAACTATAAAAATCTGTGAGGTAGACATGAAATGAGTCCATCCAAGATCATGGCAGATGGAAATAAACTTACTAAGCTATGTATGCATAGCAAGATAAGAGTTTTCTGACCACTGGACTTGACCCCTCCAACTAGCTTCAAGATAGCATCAGATGCAACTTTGAATTGATTCAAAAACCAAAGTACTTAACTTGTTATTTTAGACTTACTCTTGACTCAAGACTCAGATTATAAAACAAACTGTTCTTAATGCATCAAACTCAAAAACCGAAAATTTGGGGTTGACCATCTCCCAAGTCTTAATTTTGCAAATGTCAAATTGATGGAAAGTAATATAAGTACCATCATAAAAAACTTTGATAAATTATTTACCCAAAATGAAACACTTATCTAGGTGGGCATCATTCAAATTTCTCATTGATTCTTAAGAAAACAATTTTGAAATATTCTGATTTGATTAATTTTAGTCTATAAGTAAGTGACTTTGAAATATTTCTACTTGACATTGATATCTGTAACTATTTACCTAGCTTGTTTACTTGTCTTCAAAAACCGATTAAAATTGTTAAGATTAATTACTGGTAGAGATCAGCATGTTCACAGTGTCATTGTAAAAATGACAAATACCACATCTAAACTATTAAATAGAAAACAATTATTAACAGGCCTCATCTGTTACTCTTAACACTCTTGTCAAATATCATGATGTCACACTGGAGGCTATAGCCATCACACAATTTATTAGTGAAATATATGACTGTGTATTTACGATTTAAATAATCCATTTATTTTATGTTGATGTATCTGCTGAATTTTAATTTACCATAGATTTAAATTATTGTTGTCATTATTTTAGCTTTTAGTGACACTGGCACATTCCTTTATCATAATTTAGGTGGCCCAATTTAAAATAAGAAATGATAAGTTTGGCACTTTTAACAGTTTACCAGCTCTCATTATAAATGACATACAACTATTATAATCAACATTTGGACTTTTTGCTTATAGAAATATAAACAAGGCCATATATTTTCATTTTGAAATTTATTTTGGTTTGAAATTTGAAGATGGAGGTGTGTTTATATTAAATGTAAACATGCAAAGCTTTATACTTTAATCATATTTTAAATATCCCCCAAGATCAGTTGTATTTTATAACTATATCTAATTCTTAAGATATGATTGATTTCGGTATTTTGACACCCAGTGTCCAACCTATACTTAATGTTGACTGAGGCATGTGAATCTCAGACATATGAATGGCCCAAATAGACCAGGGAATAAAGAAAAATCTTGATATTTGATTCGTCCCAGATGGCCCAGGGACTCCGTTGTTGGGGAGCACCATTGAAAGTTCTTGGTATTTTCCAGATCCCAGTACCTATGATAGGTATCATTGTAGTCATTCAGCTGGTGTACATTCTGTAGCTCTACCATGGGCACAAAGTCTTCATACATTTATATCAGATGGTAAGTAAACTTTCAGGTTTGTACTATTTGAATGGGAAAAATACAATATTCTATAACAATTTGTTGAAATTTAAGCATTTACAATTTGAAAAGTTAGTCATACAGACAGTTATGTTCTGATGATGCTTTGACTAAATATAAGAAATACCTTGTAAAACATTCATGTAGCTTCCATCATACTGGTGAGTTTAGTATTTATTTATTTGATAAACATTGTCCAACTTTCTGATATTGCCTACTGTTACTAGTTCCTACTATGTTACTTGAATCCTAAAAAAAAATACAAAACAGATGCATTATATCTATTTTATTTAGATACAGAGAGCAACCCTGTTTTACCAGATAACCAACAATGTGTAGTAGAACATGTTATTTGTACCAAACCATTGACATCCAGGTAATATTTAGTTTCTTCAGAATCCTAGTCTCTACATGGCTTGAATCAAGCAATTAAACTTTGTAAGGAATAGATTTTCTTTATATTGAACAAGTTTTTTTAGAGCTAAAAGTGAAAATAGTGTGTAAAGTGTGAAATGGGTCTGATGTCTGATGCATTCAAGGGAGGCAACTCTAAAATATTTAGATTAATTCAGACAACAGTTGTCTGCATTCTGCAGACTTAAAATATTTTGCCATGTTTCTAGATATTATAACTGTTGTAATTTTGATAGTATACAATAAACTTTTTATGTTGTTTTCAGTCCCACAGCACCTATACAAGGTTTATCTATAGTTACTGATCCATCATTAGGCATCACATTATTAGTATTAACTAGTGACTATTTATTTACTGCATTACCATTAGGGTAAGTAGATCCATCTTTTGAATATCTCAAAAATTGAATAGTACACACAATATTTTTCATTTATTCAGCAAAATTGCCATCTTTATTCACCATTTGGCATGGGAAATCTTTAATTTGATGTATACACAAATCTCCATTTCATTTCAGTTCTAAATATAGAAGTGTAGCTCTACCTCTAGTGTCTGATGCACTAAGTACAACCGTCACATCACCTTTACGTAAACTTAATCGTGTACCATTTGATCATCATATAGCCAAAATATTACAACGAACATCATCCAATCCTTTATTAAAGTAAGTAGAGCTAAAATACTACAACAAACATAATCTGATCCTTTATTAAAGTAAGAAGAGCTAAGATATAACTACAACAAACATCATCCAATCCTTTATTAAAGTAAGTAGAGCTAAGATATTACAACATACATCATGTAATCCTCTATAAAAGTAAGTAGAGCTAAAATTTTCAACATAAAATAATAAGATTTTCAACATTCATTATTTAATCCTTTATTAAAGTAAGTGAAGCTAAATTTTCAACAAACATCATCCAATCCTTTTCTAAAGTAAGTAAATCTAAGATATTACAACAAACATCATCTAATCCTTTATTAAAGTAAGAAGAGCTAAAATATAGCTACAACAAACACCATCCAATCCTTTATTAAAGTAAGTAGAGCTGAAATTTTCAACATTCAATATTTAATCCTTTATTAAAGTAAGTGAAGCTAAAATATTACAACGTACATCATCCAATCTTTTATTAAAGTAAGTAGAGCTAAAATATTAAAGTTACATCATTCAATCCTTTACTAAAGTAAGTAGAGCTAAGATATTATGACGTACATCATCTAATCCTTAATTAAAGTAAGTAGAGCTTAACTATTAAAGGTACATCATTCAATCCTTTATTAAAGTAAGTAGAGCTAAAATATAAAATGTACATCATTCAATCCTTTTTTTAAAGTAGAGCTAAAATATAAAAAGTACATCATTCAATCCTTTATTAAAGTAAATAGAGCTAATATATAAAATGTACATCATCCAATCCTTTATTAAAATAAGTAGAGCTTGAATTTTCAACATTCATTATTTAATCCTTTATTAAAATAAGTGAAGCTAAAATATTACAATGTACATCATCCAATCTTTTATTAAAGTAAATAGAGCTAAAATATTAAAGGTACATCATTCAATCCTTTATTAAAGTAAGTAGAGCTAAAATATAAAATGTACATCATTCAACCCTATATTAAAGTAAGTAGAGCTAAAATATAAAATGTACATCATTCAACCCTATATTAAAGTAAGTAGAGCTAAAATATAAAATGTACATCATTCAACCCTATATTAAAGTAAGTAGAGTTAAAATATAAAAAGTACATCATTCAATCCTTTATTAAAGTAAATAGAGCTAAGATATTATGACATACAACATCTAATCTTTTATTAAAGTAAGTAGAGCTAAAATATTGAAGGTACATCATTCAATCCTTTATTAAAGTAAGTAGAGCTAAAATATAAAATGTACATCATTCAACCCTTTATTAAAGTAAGTAGAGCTAAAATATTAAAGGTACATCACTCAATCCTTTATTAAAGTAAGCTAAGATATTACAAAAAAACATCATCTTATCCTTTATTAAAGTTAGTAGACGTACATCATCTAACCCTTAAAATCATTCATCATATATGTTTTTGTGTTATATAGGTCCAGCTCAAGAACAGAGGTCAGTCAACAAGAATGTTTTCAACTCTTAAGTCGTGCAACACAAGTTTTACGAGAAGAATATATCCAAAAACAAGATCAGGCTCGTATTGAAATAGAGACAAGGTGATGAAAACATTATTTTATATTTTGGCATTGAAATGATGTTTTTAGGTTTCTAGTGTCTTTAATTTTCATTTCTAAATCCTACATAATTTCTGAACATGCGAGCCATGCCGTTCCAATGCCTCCAAAGCTGCATGTAGCAGTTGTGAGTGTAGAACATAAGAGGCATAATGTATATACAATTTAATGATATGTTTACTCATACTGAAATGCTATACGCCACCTAATCCTGGATTATTTTCCTAAGATTGATACTATTGCCAGTGTATATCATTGTGGTGAATCTGACTCAATGGATATGTACAGGCTTTTCTTTGTTATAATTTCCTTGTTCGAATTTTTCATTAATAAAGGGCAAGAATTTTACGAGACCAAAAAAAAAATCAGAATAAAGATTTACAGAGATTAGAAGAATCAAGAAACATTTTACGTGATAAAGCAGAATGTGTTTCTGAGAAATTAGAAAATTCTCAACATCTTCAAGAAAGGAATTTGAAAAGGTTAGTATGTTACTATTTTACCATATGGATGATGCAAAGAAATATATTATGGAATCAATTATCCATTAATGACTTCTGACTTATTTAAATTTTAATCTATATCTTTTAAATTTCAAACAGCATTATTCTGTGATCCATTCGAAATCTTTTAATTTTATATTGGTATACTATCATCTTTACGGCACTAAGATGGCAAACATATCCCTAGACCAATATTACAGCTAAATATTATTTTTGTTAACACAAATTTAAATTTAATTGTTATTTGATTAAAGGTTTATTCTAACATCCAGGATGAAAATCACATTGTTATTTGCCATATATGCATCAGAGTTAACAGAATGCATTAATAAATATTTGTCTATTATTTCTAAGAATAACCAGTTTTGAATCTTTTGAATTAACAGTGACTGTCCATTTTTATTTCAAATGATAGATTAGAACTTATTATGAGAAAGATACAGTCCAGACTACCAATGTTATCAGATGCAGAGAAAGTTTTCAGTAAAGAAATACAAGAAATAAGTGATAATATCAAAGCATTTGAGAAAAATTTAGATCAGGTAAGAAATTGATTATCTCCCCTTTCAGAAATGAACAAGATGGTGTATGTAGTTTGACATTCTTTACTCAAACTTTTCAATACCAACTTTCATTATATACATCATAAGTGTTTTTGTCAGCAAATTTGATTTGGTTTCAATTTACAGGAGTAAGTATTTTTGCAGTATTTTTGCATCAAACAGAAATAAAAATAACTAGAAATGTTTGTACTTGTTTTAGTTGAAGAAGAAGCAAGAATATCAAAAACAGAAGATAGAAAGAGATGATAAATCTATCAGTAATAATCCTCTATTAAAACCAAATCACACAACTCATTTAAAAGAAATATTAAAAGAAGAGTAAGTTTTTCTATAGTTTAAACTGTGATATATATTCTAGTTATTTAATAGTAGGCTTAAAAGTACTAGAGTTGAAAGCAACTGGATAGAAATTTAACAAACTTTTATTAATTTGTTTTTCTCCAGTTTAACTTTTCAAAGACTCTAGGTGAATGGGCTGACACTGAATACGTTCATTTTCTATTTCATTTTTCCCATTTTTAAATTGTTCATATAATCAGATATATTTGTGATTGTATATTGTAGGAGTGATGAAATCAGTAATTTGATGAAGAAAGTGAACCAATTAAAATTAGATACCAATTTATCATTATCCTAGCAGTGCTAGGGTTATATTCAGTCTAATTATGAGGTCAAGGGTGTTGTAATATAAACTGATAGAGGAGGATACAGTCCTCTTAATATTCACTTTATTCTGGTCTATAATATTGATTACGCTTAATTTCAGCTCTTAAGCATTACCACATGTGGATATGAACAGTATCATGATATTCGTAATGTTAGCTAGACACAATGTCCCAGTTTACATTATAAAAATTATTTGTTCCCGGAACTGTCAAGTGTTCTAAGAACTGTTCCAATTCTAGACTATTGAGGCAGGTAAAATTTGGTATCCTTTCCGAGAACAGTTCTTGCACACGGGTCTTGACACCTTGACCATTCCCCACACTGTCTGTTCGCAGACAAGAGAAATGCCAGATGAATAGTTTTTGTCTGGGTTACTGTTATTACCTCGTACGTGAAAAGTGCCATTAAAATGCATCTGAAAACAGCAGATTATTTACACTTCTATTACAGAACTCTTCTTGGATACTCGAAATTGTAGTAGTTAAAACGGTACACTTCTGAACAGGGTTAATATTCAGATAGCTGAAATTAATCCCCATTAGTTGGTAAAGTAACTTGTCACACCGGACAACTGTCATCTGCGATCTTATGGCGACTAGAAATGCACTAGGTTGTGGTCAATCGTGAGGAAAACTTAAAAATAGTCCCTAAAGAATTACAAACTTAAAAACCAGGACCTTATACAGCAAGTTATGAGACCATATTGTGATTTAACTTTTTTGCAGCATTTTGGTCATGTGTGTTGGATCGCCAAATTTGGTGTTTGTTTTGTTTTATGTCCAAAATAAACCTTAGTAGTGGTGATAATTGCACAATGTCTGGCGTGACTTACACGCTTATAGCGACCCTAACACACTCTGAAGGCCTTTCCGGTGTGACAGGTCCTTAAGAACCTGTATGTTATAATGGGGGAGGTCCTACCAATATGATACAGACATCTTTGACATCCTTGCATTGTCATACTATCATTGGGGCAGTTACTCAAATAACCAGAGTTCATCAGATACATATTGTACTTGTAGTTATAATAATAAACTGTTTTTGTTATAAAATTTTTGTTTTTGATTCTAGCCAAAATTGATAATAATCTGCCTTCTTGAGAATGTTACCAAAAATAAAAATTTCTGATTCTCTTCGCCTGTTTAGACCAATCTGAAGAGGGACTGATATTGTTATATAGAAATTGTCATGTTCAAAAATATTCTTTTTTTATTAATACAGTCATTTATAGTTCAACACAATAGAATATTGTATAATTGATTAAATCTTATTAGGCATAGAACCTTTATTTGCAGACTACTTAGTTTCTGTTTATTTTATTATCTTATTATCAATTATTTAATATGTTACGCTAAATTTTCACTTTACTATTCAGTATGTTTTATCTTAGTTATATTGCATATCAAACCGAATGTTAACATAAACATATCAAGTTTTTTGATAGAACCTCATTTAAGTAGAACTAATACAATAGGATTTGTCACTTTAATAGGGTATAGTAAACTATCTCTCGTAGAAACGATTACCTTGTACCATTAATTGTAATGACTCTAATTATACTAAAATCAAAACTAACTAGAACTGTACTAATAACAGTACTGATGCAGGGCGTGTTACGACATTCGGGTACATACGAAGTTGGTCTATTGCAATTACATGGATGTAAATACTTTTCTGCATCTCTATATGCAAATATCCAAAAGTGCCTGGAGTTGACGAACTTTCTGATAGAAATTGGGGAGAATGTTACTTTAACGGACATGTCAAACTCAGGAATTTTATCTATACTGACATAGAGGGCGTATTTATCGTTCGATTTTTCTCGGGTTTCCTTTATTACAATTCTTAGTACAAAGGACATATGGTAGCAGTTGAAAATATTCGATTTTCCAAAATACTTTCCAATACTTTTTTTTGTCGAAATTAATCGAAAAATGCTATTTCGTTTGCTTTTTGACGGATCGATTTAAAATTTTTATGGCGTAGACCGTCGGTATTGGCAAATAATTCTGCATAGTCATAAAATGTTTATCACTTCCTGTTTCGATATAAATACTTCCGGTGGCATCACTTCCGGTGAATTTGAGTTATGTAAGAAATGACATATGCATAAGCTTAGTGTCACTAATACAAAGTGTTATAACTAAAAAAATTCGTACCGGAAGTAACATATAGGTTGCCATATTGGTTTGCCTCAATATGCAAAACTTGCTATTTTGGAGCTATTTATTATCCGTTTTGAACAATTTTGGTGTCAAATGATAGAATTAACGTTTATCTAAAACTTGTTGAGGACAGAATTTTGATTTTCGGTTTTGCCTTTTTTGTACGACCGGATATTTTTTTTCAAAGTTTGAAGGCGTATATCTCATGACCTTAACCTTTGGTGACCTTCATATTTACTATGATGATAATTTGTGACCTTGTCTATCTGATGACCTTTTGACCTTTGAGGTCAGACAACCATTTTCGATTTTATAGGGGTTTAAAAATGGTCCATTTTGAACCTTCGCAGTGTTGTATCTCGTAGCCTAATAGTGATATGGGAATAATTCTTTCGATTTCATAATGCTGAGATTCTGAGCTTTCCAGTGATATACAACATGTCTATGTAAAATTCTATTCGTTTAACATTGTGGTACGAAATTTAAGTTGGTTAATGAGATGTCAGTATAGATAAAATTCCTGAGTTTGACATGTCCGTTAGAATACCATTCTCCCCAATTTCTATCAGAAAGTTCGTCGACTCCAGACACTTTTGGATATTTGCATTTAGAGATGCAGAAAAGTATTTACATCATTGTAATTGCAATAGACTAACTTCGTATGTACCCGAATGTCGTAACACGCCCTGCATCAGTACTGTTATTAGTACAGTTCTAGTTTTATATTATTATGTCATTGGCGTTATAATTAGCTGACTTTTGTTATAGCCAAGATATCTCAGACAGTGTACAGAGTCATGCTTTGATGTATAGTAATGTCTTTAAAATAATAAAATAGTTTTTATCTGTTTGCATAAACATTTCATTACAGAGAAAAACCATTACAATGACAGGGAGGGCATCCCTGGATAATTAACTAAAAGAACTCACAATAGAACACTACATCAATGAATAATTCACACTATTGATTAACTCATGATTATACAAGTCGGGTGTATACATAAATGCAATTTGTATAGTTTTTGTTGATCTTCTGATTCTGCTGATTATAGTAAAGTTGTATTAAAGTAATATAGTAAAGTTGTATTAAAGTAACAAAGTAAAGTTGAAAGATAACGTCTGTATCCGTCTGATACTGCAGGTAGTTAGTGATAGTGGTGGTGTGGTTGTAGATTCTGTATCAATTGGATGGTTTTAACACTGTTAGTTTGGTAGTTTAGGAATTTTCTACCTTGTCAGGTCGAATGCCATGGCGGTTAAACTTGACCCTTGAGTTACCGCTCTCATTCATTCTTTAAAAAAAAACATCCCATATATGGTATTGACAGAAAAAACTTCCTTAAAATATTCATTGAAAAGTTTTTAATTAATTTGTGTCCATTTTCAGGAAAACGACACTACATATACAAAGATAATACGTTCTAGGATAGATCGATTAAGGTGTTGCCCGAGTAAAAGCAGTAAAGGGATTCAGTAACCAAACCTCTGCATAAAAGTAGGTCGGTGTAAAGGATTCAGCACTCAAGGTTCTGTCTGTGCAAAAGTAGGTCGGTGTAAAGGATTCAACAATCAAGGTTCTGTCTGATAAACAGACACCTGGTCAGTGAAAAGATTCAACAATCAAGGTTATGCCTGATTAAAAGACACTAGATCAGTAAAAAAAAGTTCAGCCACCAAGGTTCTGTCTGATTAAATGCTACTAGGTCGATGAAAATCCATCTACCAAGGTTCTGTCTGATTAAAAGTCACTAGGTCGGTGTAAAGGATTCAGCTACCAAGGTTCTGTCTGATTAAAAGTCACTAGTCAGTGAAAGGATTCAACTACCAAGGTTCTAGCTGATTAAACGTCACTAGGTCGGAGTAAAAGAATTCAGCAATCAAGGTTCTGTCTGGTTAAAAGTTACTACGTCGGTGAAAATTCATCTACCAAGGTTCTGTCTGATTAAAAGTTACTACGTCAGTGAAAATTCAGCTACCAAGATTCTTTCTGATTAAAAAGTTATTAGGTCGATGAAAATTCATCTACCAATGTTCTAAAAGTCACTAAGTCGAGGTATAAGAATTCATCTACCAAGGTTCTGCCTGATTAAAAGTCACTAGTTCGAGGTATAAGAATTCATCTACCAAGGTTCTGCCTGATTAAAAGTCACTACTTCGAGGTATAAGAATTCATCTACCAAGGTGCTGCCTGATTAAAAGTCACTAGTTCGAGGTAAAAGAATTCATCTACCAAGGTTCTGTCTGATTAAAAGTCACTAGTTCGGGGTATAAGAATTCATCTACCAAGGTTCTGTCTGATTAAAAGGCACTCGGTCAGTGAAAGGATTCAACAATCAAGACTCTGATTAAATAAAGGCAATCAGCCAGAATCTGACTGTAGTTCCGCATGAATTTGATACTCTTTGAGCTTTTTTTTTTTAACTTATTCAAAATGGAGAAGAAATCACCAATATTGGTAATGATGTTGACACATTTAACTGGATTTATCTTGAGTTTAGAGTGTGGTGACCAATGGTTCATGATGGTCGACTGTCAAAAATTTTTCCCGGGATATAATACAAGTTCTATAAACATGACTGTTAATACTATTTACAACTGTGTTCACCAAGCTGAAAAAGAACCCACTGTCAAGTCATTGGTATTTCACAAAGATTCTCAAACTGGTCAGAAAACTTGCTATTTATATGAAGAGATTGCATCAAGTTGTGAAGGCTCCGTGGAAGGGGATTTTGGAGTAAATAAATATCTATTTAAGGCAATTATTTTATTTACAATGTTAACATCGTATTCAAAATGGCGTAATTAACACGAATTAGATAAAATTGGAACTTTCTATATACATTCTAATAATTGACTACTTTTTAAAGGCATTTAAAGGTTTACGTAGATGTCGAGTGGCAAATTATCGCTTAATCTAATATGTTCATTCATGTTTTAGTTGAATTTTCCACTAGTACGTTACAATGCTTTTAATTCAAGCAAACACGATTGCATTATGATGCAATTATCATGGACTATGTTTATGTTATGTGTTCAGAAAAAATGTTTTTTTTTTTAATTTGGTTATATTTTTCAGCCATATAAATGTGAGAACGGTGGAAGTCTAACTAAAGATAAATTAAGTTGTGACTGCCCTAATGGATATTTCGGACCGTCTTGTACGGAATTGTCTACAGGTTAGATCAATGTTAAAACTTCACTTCACTCCGTTGACAAAGCATGGTATGAAAACAGAGACATTGTTCTTGAGTGGCTGTTTAAGATCATAAACAAAACTAATACCATACTTTGTGCTAGTGAACCATAATGTATTAGCTAATTTGAAATTTTCGTGTCCAAATATTCAACAGGTTGAGACACTATAAAAGTGGGTGGGCTTTGAATCCCAAGCACCCAACCGCCACAACCACACCAACCGGAAATACAAAATACGCTCAAATTCGCCTGAGGATAACGAAACGAGTATGATAAGAATATTTAGTGACAATATTAAAGAATTAATTATTAATTTTCTTGCACTAAGATATTTTTTATTAAATTGTTAATGGTGTCAGAACAAATCCTTGATTTGCCATGTCGGAAACACGTAAGAGAACTAAAGGGCGGCGCATACCGGCCAATATTTTTCTTGTGACGCCATTGGACTATAATTGACGGCGTCAAATTATCTTTTTTTTTCGCGGCTGGGAGCGTCTTATGGCCTTTTACAAGTTCAGGCTGATAAAGCAATTGCAGAGGAGGAAGCACCTTTTATATGACCCAATATATGTGACGTCCATTAAGTAAACAAGGAGTCATTTTTATCAGAGCCTAGGAATGCGTCATTATATAAGTGAGCACATGATAAGTTTATCTATCACTCACACACTAGCCGACAAACAAGTTCGATCAACGTGTCAGATGAACCCCCGATTACTGCCCGATTTTGTCATGGGTCAAAGAACTCCTAAGGACTTACATATATTTACCGCCTGAAACAACCTCCGAAAATAATGAACTATGGCCTAAAAAGGATTTAATTTTATCAGTATAATCAATGAATTAATGAGATACAGTCAATGTTTTTAGCTACAAATGAATTAAATTCTTTTTTCAAACAGCAGACAATAATTGTTTTTTTTTTCCCCTTCAGATGACTTTTACGTTTTTTATATTTATACTTTCAGATTGCGTGGATATAAAAAGCAGAGGGTTTAGATACCGTGGTTTATATCCTGTAAAACTTCTACCAAACAAGCCACCAATAGACTTGACTTGTCATAATGGAGGAACTGTTGTCATGTCCCAAGACATAGAAAAGGACGCTAACTTCACTTTTAATCGTTCTTGGGTCGAATACCGAGATGGTTTTTATCACGGTAAAAATAATATTTGGGCGGGTCTTGAAGTTATAAATTTATTAACTACACGAAGATTTCATAACAAGTTTCAAATAAGTGCCATTATTTTTGACCCTATAGCTGTCATAAAACAGAAGAAATTTCTGAGAACAACTTTTACTGGCTTTAAGGTAGATCACGAGAATACTCAGTTTTTAATGACGTATGACTTCATTGAAATTTCTACTGAATATCATTTAGGTGAAATGTTGAGAACTCTTAACAATTCACGATTTAGTACCTATGACCGTGATAATGACCATATGGCAATAAATTGTGCGATGAAATACGGTGGAGGATGGTGGTATAACAACGCTGGTACATTTACAAGGGATTTTACACCAAACGAATTCCAATTCGAATGTGCGCCTGCTAACCCTACAGGTTATTTTTGGAATCAATGTGAAGGTTGTACCAGTGAAGTAAAGAATATATCCACTGGATCAGTTTTTAATGGTCAGGTTCTCTGGATTGAGATGGTTTTAATGAAATGAAATCCCACATTTATGTACATCTATTGAAAGTGGAATATTTTAGCAACTTCTATTTTTCAAGGACTATAAACGCACTCTTTTGCCTTTAATGAAACGCTAGTATTAGTTATTTATAGTGATGGACAATCGGATGAAAATAATAAGCGATTAATCGAAATAATCCGAGAGGCATAATCGATTATGTAATCGATTAATAATCGAAACACACCCATTTAATGAACATGTACTTGTTTAAAGGCTTTATAAATTAATTTCATAGTTGTTTTGTTAATTATGATAGGTTTGATGCAGGTACTTACACTCAACACTGTGAGAAAACAAAATACTTTTTTATTTGCATACCAATTTTTTCTGTATGGAACGAAATTACATAGCAGTTTTTTGTGGAGTGGCCTATGCTATAGCAATATATATTGTATTATACATGTAAATGCTGATTGCAATAAATCAAAATCAATCAATCAATCAATTAGCAATTTTTAATGATGTAGAAGTCTTGCTATTAATTAAGTAATTTTAATAACAGTTATTGTTCTGAATGAGTCTTTCGGACTATTTCGTTTACTCGCCTCTTACACTAATAACATAGAATATTTCCCCTGATGATGACGAGAGAAGGTAACAACTGGGCCCGAGGACGGTCGACAGGAATGGTTTGAATATGTAATTGTATCCATCAACATCGTCTGTATTTCGCAACATCGTAATAAAATAGTTATAGAAAAAGATTCACAACTTTCTTCTGTTCTACCATCGAGAACATAATATGTATCATATTATGGTAGCCAATGTCAGGGCCCAGCAACACCGTCGATCCATCGCAAAGAGATATTACACAACGACGGCAATTAGCGGCTCAACAACAAGAAGTGCAAGATGTTGATGCTCAGAATACCTCAGCAAATCTTCGTTGTTTAAATCTTTAGAGACTTCACAGAAATGGGCGGTGTCTAAAGACAAAAACTTGTGCTTTCGTTGTTTAAGCCCAATGCAAAGAGGTAGGCTAATCGATGTCGCAACTCGCAGAAATGCATGATAGACGGATGTCAGAGAACCCACCATTCCTTATTACATGGTAACGATAGTGAGCATGTGAGAGACAGAATCCCCCATTTCCCCAACTTAATTATTACAGTCCTGCATCAGATTCGCAGTCAGCACGAACTACATACCTGCGTTTATAAAAAACAATCGGCGGCTAAAGGTCAATGCTTTACTAGATGAGTGCTCAACAGACAGTTATGTCAGTGAATTTGTCAAACACGAATTAGGTTTGCATGGTGGCACAATTAACTTAAACATAGACGTTTTAGGTGGCTCTAAAACATCCTTGAAATCGGATGAAGTCACTATTGGAGTAAGTAGTGTAGACTGTTTGAATAATTTTAACTTGGACGCCTTTACGGTTAAGAACGTTACTGGTGGTTTAACCGCTGTCAACTAGTTACGTCATTTGTACAATTGTCCACACCTTTGTGGAATCCCGTTTCCAGAAATAGCACATACAACTCATATCGACTTATTGATTGGTTTGAATGCTGAACAGGTTCATAACTCACATTCGGAAATCGCTCGCCTTACTTGTCTTGGTTGGACCTGTATTGGACCTATAAGCCCTAGTCGTACAATCGAATCTAATCCTCGCATTCATTATGCTCAAACTTTTTACATTCGGAACGATGAGTCAAATCTTGATTCCCTACTTAAACAAATGTGGGATGTCGAACAATCTGGTGTTAGTAAACACAAACTTTACACGCAATCGGAAAGCGGGGCTATTATGTCTACGAAGGTATCGCGTCGGAATACCTTGGCGTGCCAACAGAACAATATCGTTCAATTATTCGTGACCATGAGCAAAATGGATACATTGAGGAAGTATCCCCGTGTGACATTTCTAAACCTTCGTGGTATTTACCACATTTCGCGGTAATTCGTCATGGACGCTGCTGCGCGTTGTAGAGACATGTCGTTAAACAATGTTATTCATCCCGGTCCAAAGTTGAACTCTTTGACGTTCTGATACGTTTTCAACATAGACTCATGGCATTAGCTACAGACATAACCGAAATGTTCTTGCAGTTCGAAATGCAACCGAATGATAAAAGCTTTCATAGATTTTTATCTAGAGATTTGAATGGCACTTCGCAGATTAAGATTTATCAATATAATCGATTGGTTTTCCGTAATGGTAGGTAGGTAGGTAGATGACAAGTTAACGTTCGCTTCCAGCGGATGCTGATATCGCAAACTAGGTAGTTGTTGGTAGTAGTTGGTAGTTGGATTGGTTCAAATTGGATGATTCTGTGGTGTTAGGTTGGTTGTTGATTCTTCGTTAGATCTGGTCGGGTCGAATGACATGGCGGTCAAACTCGTTCTGATCATGGTATTTCTTGTTAATTGGTAATCGAATGGTAGTAGTTGGTTTGGTTTGGTTTGGTTAGATTATATAATAACTGTTAAAAAACTAGAAGATCTGAAAAAAAAAGAAAAAAAAAGTGAGGAAAAAAATAAAAGGGGGAAAAGCTTTCAACAAAAGGGGGAAAGATGTTCTCTCATGTTTCTGCAATGAAACTTGCTAAATTGATTGGATAGAATTAAAAGTGTTAAGTGACTTTAAGTATAAAAACTTAGTCTATCTGTTCAAGACAGATTTGGTTATAAAATGAAAGACGAGTTCCATTATCGTATACCAGTGGTCCGTGGGTGGAGCCAAAACATTCTGTATGGTGAGTGGTTTGCCGTTGGTTTCCAGGTCCTCTGTCAGTGGCTTACGAGCGGGTTTCAGTTCAGTGCATTCAATGATGACATGCGACCCTGTGGCAACATGGCCGCAGCGACATTTTATGGCGTTCAACTGGTGGTCTCGTAGTACATTGTTGGTCCGGAATCTGGTTGCCACTTTGCATATGGCTACAGATGGATGGTTTGGTTTGGTTTGGTAATACCTCAGCTCCATATTTATCCCAAGCTGTTTTACGTGAACATGCGAATGTGAACATTAAGAATTACCCTTTAGGAGCAAATTTGATTTTATATTGAATGTATGTTGACGATCTCTTAGATAGTGTTAGCTCCAGAACACAAGCTGTCCAGTTACGACGCGAATTGACTGCTATACTTCAAAGCGCAGGATTCAGTATTCGTAAATGGTTGTCAAACAATACTGATGTGTTAAGTGACATTCCAATTAAGGACCGTGTCGGTCAGCTTTCGATTGAAGTTTGCCCTCGGAAACTTTAGGAAATCTTTGGAATTCTGAACGAGACGTATTTGCCTTTCATGTGTCCGAACATTCGTATTCGATTCTAACCAAGAGAGACATCGTTTCCAAGACTTCTTCGTTATTTGATCCATTGGACTTTTTAGCACCGTTCTTGATTCGAGCTCAAATTGACATTCAGGACGCCTGGATAAGAGGTTTAGATTGGGGTACGCCCTTACCAGATAATTTGATTAAATCTTGGGACACATGGTTCGCAGAATTGCAGTTGCTTCAAAATTTAGATATACCTCGCTGTATAGTTTCTGGCAAGTCTCTCACAATTGACCAAACTTTACACGCATTTGTAAATGCCCCGGGAAAAGCCTATGCTGCATCGTGTGACCTTCGCAGCCTGTATGCAGACCAATCTGTCTTTTAGATTCGCGACGAGTCACGTAACTATAAGCCATTTGTTTAGCACAGTGCCGATCCTGCAACTAGGGGACTTTCAGTTACTGAACTAACCAATTGTGAATTGTGGTGGTATGGTCCAAATTTAAAAAAAAAGAGCTTCGTTATGGCCTGTCTCCGATAATTTCGACCCCCCAGAAGCGAAAGAGGAAGTTTGTGAAAATCAATCTTCAACATTCGTTACTGTGCCAAAAGTAGTAGATTTAGGCAGACTTAATCCTTCGAGATACTCTAATTGGCTTAAATTGGATATTTCGGTTTATTAATAATATTCGTAGGTCTAAAGACTCCATTGGACTACAGTATTTGGAAAGTCGTGAGTTAACTGCATCGGAGACATTTTGGTTCGCAAAGCACAATTCGATGCCCTGACTGAAAATGTTAAAAATGTGTTTTGGAGTGATTATTTCGTATTATCATTCGTAAAGTATTCCTATCGTAACCTGTCATCGAGGATCATCGAAATCTAGAGACTTTCGACTTGCAGCAACTATCGAACAATATTTCTGTGTTATATATAGGACTATCGAAGTTATATACCCTTGTTCTTATTTATAGTCATCGAAATCGAGTCCATTGTTACTTGATGTGGTCACATCAATGGGGAGTATGTTCGGAATGAGTATTTCGGACTATTTCTTTTACTCGCCTCTTACACCAAAATTAACATAGATTATTTCCCCTGATGATGACGAGAGAAGGTAACAATTGTATCCATCAACATCGTCTGTATTTTGCAACATCGTAACAAAATAGTCATAGAAAAACATTCACCACTTTCTTCTGTTCTACCATCGAGAACAGTTATACAGTAGTGAATTGTAGTTTTAATACTAGTACAAAAGATAAAACAGTAGTAGCCTTTCTTTTACCTCAAATGTATTCTTATCTCCATGCGATGTGCGTCCCTTTGACACTCGAGTATATCTGAAAAGTTTGTCGCTGTAAATATCTTGTCTGGACGAAAAAAAAACAAAAGTTGGCATAACGCAGACACCATGATATTGAGCGGTAATGTCGCCGTTTCCCACAACAGTGAATCTATCTCACATAGTTATCATATTGCCGTTTCCCACAACAGTGAATCTATCTCACATAGTTATAATATTTCTTCAAGAATGGCTTTTCTTATACTGCTGATATCTCTGTTATTTTTGAAATGATCAAATACTTGCATTTGTCATATTTATTCCTGTGACCATAGAACAGTATACAGTTCTATGCTGTGACATTGGGTCTAAATTTTCAAGGTCGCACGAGTAGATTCTCCAAACTAACCGATAATTATTAAAGCTCGGGTTTGCAGTATTTCTTACGAAAATGGATATTTATAAGTTGTTATTATTTTGTTACAAATAAAAGTGTCGTATTTCGATCGTTAAATGATGAAGCATGAATTTTTGCAAATAAGCGCTCTATTCCCTGTCAGTATAATACCTTACTCAGAACAATCTGTGACTACGATACTATTTATAGTAACAATCATGCCTCATTTGTTTCTGTGCCGAATTCAAGGCTAGTCCTCGAGAAAAATTAATCGAAGATAGGACAAATTACCAGGATCTCCTTGTTTTAGTCACCCAATTTTATAATAAGTTAAGTTTAATTCATTATTAGAAATTTTATACTATCAACAAAAACAACATGACTTGTAGTTGATTAGTTTATTTGAGCTACAAGCACACTTCGCTTCACAAACCAATCACCTGTAAATACCCTTTGTTTTCTTTCTTTTTTTTATCTTGGGATTCACCTTTGTCTCTTTCCTCTGGGGTGATCTGTTTTCATCTTTACCCTGGTAATAAGAGAAAATATAAAACAGAGAAGCAATTGCAAACTTGAATTCAAACTGGTAAAAAGCATAATTTATTGTGTGGCTGAATTTTTTAAAAGGAAGGCGCGAAGGGGTGAAGTGGATAGGGACGAAATGGCTAAGAAGGCGGATTGGGAAAAGGGTAAATATGGAAGGAACGATATGGGAAAGTTGCAAAATAGCAAAAGACGATGTGGAAAACAACAAAAGGGCGAAACGGGAATGGTTTAGGATCGAATTGGGAGGACACCATTCTAGACATCACTACAAAAACTTTGTAAATGTTCGAGGTTATTAAAGGGGCAGTATGCAAAATTTTCATTATCAAAAACGTCTTAAAAATACTTGAAAATATTTCTAAAGTATACTTTTTACATCTACGTATCTACTTGATCAAACTGAATTTGTTTTAAAAGGGTTAATTTAAAACGGAGAACACTAAATTCTAACCAAGTTTTGGTTTTGGCTTTACAGTGGCTCGATATTATTACTTGAAACCTTCAGAATATGTAGGGGACATATTTGTCAACAATTAGGCAGTTATTCTGCTTAAGTCCGCACAGTAGTTTTTTTTACATCTACCAAAAAGCATAACTAACTTAAAAAAGTTTGGATAAACTTCAAGTTTTAAAATAGTTTCGGCTGTAAGTTAATGAGCTGATGTTTCTCTTGAAAATCTTGAGTACACCAAGGCTGCAAATTAATGAAATATATTCGAGACCTTGATCAAATCATACAAATTGACGTCACAAAATGCAAATTATTGACAATTTGCGACATTGTAATTTGGTCGATTGATGCAGACAGAATTTCACTAGATGTAAAACTATTAAATAATGCGAAAAGTTTTGAGACACTCCTAAATAGCATACACCAAAAGTGGGTGATCAATATCCTATAATCGTATTGTCAGAAAAAAACTTTCTTTAAATATTAATTGAAAAGTATATTGTTATTTAATTTGTGTCCATTTCAATAGAGCCAAACGGTACTCAATATAATTAATTTTTATTAAAAGAAACAATCGTTTCCTCGGAAACAAGGTTTAGCCTGAATGAAAGGTGAAGGATCACAGAAATGGTGAAATGAAGCAGAAAACAATGGTCAGTGATATGATTCAGCAACCATGGTTCTGTCTGATATGTTTTTCTTTAAATATTCATTGAAAACTATTGAAATTAGTTTGTGTAAATTTTCAATAGAGCAAAACGACACTCAATATTATTAATTGAGTTTTTGAAAGAAATATTGTTACCTTGGATACAGTTTTGCATTATAAATAAAATAAATTAGAAGACACGTGGAAGATAGAGCAACCAAGGTCTTGCCTGATAAAAAAAACGCTAAGTCAGTGAAAAGATTCAACAATCAAGGATCTGTCTGATAAAGAGGGATTAGTTCATTGAACAGATTCAAGAATCAGGGATCTGTCTGGTAAAGGGGGATCAGGTCAGTGAAAAGATTCAACAATCAAGGATCTGTCTGATAAAGAGGGATCAGGTCACTAGAAAGATTCAAGAATCAAGGATCTGTCTGATAAAGAAGGATCAGGTCAGTAGAAAGATTCAAGGATCTGTCTGATAAAGAGGGATCAGGTCAGTAGAAAGATTCAACAATCAAGGATCTGACTGATAAAGAGGGATTAGGTCAGTGAAAAGATTCAACAATCAAGGATCTGTCTGATAAAGAGGGATCAGGCGAGTAGAAAGATTCAACAATCAAGGACATGTCTGATAAAGAGGGATCAGGTTAATAGAAAGATTCAAGAATCAAGGACATGTCTGATAAAGAGGGATTAGGTCAGTGAAAAGATTCAACAATCAAGGACATGTCTGATAAAGAGGGATCAGGTCAGTGAAAAGATTCAACAATCAAGGATCTGTCTGTTAAAAAGGGATCAGGTCAGTAGAAAGATTCAAGAATCAAGGATCTGTCTGATAAAAAGGGATCAGGTCAGTAGAAAGATTCAACAATCAAGGATCTGTCTGATAAAGAGGGATCAGGTCAGTAGAAAGATTCAACAATCAGGGATCTGTTTGATAAAGAGGGATTAGGTCAGTGAAAAGATTCAAGAATCAAGGATCTGTCTGATAAAGAGGGATCAGGTCAGTAGAAAGATTCGAGAATCAAGGATTTGTCTGATAAAAAGGGATCAGGTCAGTAGAAAGATTCAACAATTAAGGATCTGTCTGATAAAGAGGGATCAGGCCAGTGAAAGGATTCAACAACCAAAGTTATGTCTGATTAAAAGTCACTCAGGCAGTCAAAAGTTCAACAACCAAGATTCTGTATGATTAAAAAGACGGTAGGTCAGTGAAAGGATTCAGTTATCAAGGTTCTGTCTGATTAAAAGACCCAAGGTCAGTCAAAGGATTCAGAAACTAAGGTTTTGTCTGAAGTAAAAAGCAGTCAGTTTGAATCTGACGTTAATACCATATAAATACTGATAACTGTTTCAGGTATTCAAAATGGTGAAGAAATCACCAATATTGGTAATGATGATGGTCAATTTAATTGGATTTATCTTGAGTTTAGAGTGTGGTGACCAATGGTTCGTTACAGTCGACTGTCCAAATTTCTTCCCGGGATATAATACAAGTTTTGTAAACATGACTGTTAATACTATTTACAACTGTGTTCACCAAGCTGAAAAAGAACCCACTGCCAAGTCATTGGTATTTCACAAAGATTCTCAAACTGGTCAGAAAACATGCTATTTATATGATGAGATTTCATCAGGTTGTGAAGGCTCCGTGGAAGGGGATTTTGGAGTAAATAAATATCTATTTAAGGTAATTATTTTATTTAACGTGAACTTAAACAATTAAAACAAATTGTGGTTTCTATATTATTAGCATTTTTACAATTTATTGTACTTTTAGAGGCAGATGTCTCAAGTGGCTGATAAACACTTTAAACGGACACGCAATCCGAATGTCCAATCATACCTTAGTCTCGGAAACGGGAATTTTTTTAGTTTAGCTAATCAGCAATAGTCTTCATCGTCGATATTTGAACCTTCAAATCCATGTGTGTCCAAAATGTTTGCTCTAGAAAGTTTAAAAGACGTTTTGTCTTTTCTTGAAAATCAAGCATATATAAAAATAAAATCTCTAGTTTGAAAGAAGTATGCTATTTTCGAGCAATTAAAGTACTTCTGAAGACTTTATACATATTATTATATTGAAGACCAAAAATGGCGAACCGACTCTTTTAACACCTTTAAGTAAGAATATATGCTAAGGAAAAATTTCTGGAGAATCTTAATTGGGCAATTATTTCCAAATTTCACCTTCTTTTATTGAATATACCCACAGTACGTTACAATTCGAAAGCATTATGATGCAATCGCAATTATATCTATGTTTAGTGCTCCGAAAAATCTCATTCTTTTATATTTTCAGCCATATAAATGTGAGAACGGAGGAAGTCTAACTGAAGATAAATTAAGTTGTGACTGCAATGCTGGATATTTTGGAATATCTTGTACGGAATTGCCGACAGGTAAGATCAATCTTATATCAAATATAAAAAATCACTTCCCAAAAACAATATATTTGAATGGCTTAATTAAGTTCTGAAGGAAACTAGCAATGTTACTTAAATTTTCAAAGTAATGTCCTTTATATCATATGAATATAAGTTTGATTAATAATAAAAGATTCACTAATGCATCAAGGCAGCTACAAAATTGTCCAAAAAACCATTTTGATTCATTGCGTGGCAAATCTATCGATTTGTCACGCTTTGTTTTCGTTATGATTATTTTTTTTTATTGCAGGGCGTTCGTAAGCGAACGCCCTGATTTGTTTTCGTAACAATTATTTTTTTTTTCGTCAGCTAGGGAGCTTATTTCTCGGAACCAGAAATAGGTACGGCAAAACGGACTTCATGGCGTTTTCTAATTCGTGGCTATTCACGTATTAATTGTAAAACATAAATGCTCTGCGCAACCAGAAGTGAGATAGCAAAAAACCGGAAATGGACTGTAGAGGGCGTATTTATCGTTCGATTTTGCTCGGGTTTTCTTTATTATTATTCTTAGTACAAAGAACAAATGATAGCAGTTGAAAATATTCGATTTTCCAAAATTCGTTCGATACTTTTTTTTGTCGAAATTAATCGAAAAATGCTATTTCGGTTGCTTTTTGAAGGATCGATTTGAAATTTATATGGCGTAGACCGTCGGTATGGGCAAATAATTCTGCATAGTCAAAAAATGTTAATCACTTCCGGTTTTGATGTTAGTACTTCCGGTGGCATCACTGGTGAAATTGAGTTATGTCAGAAATGACATATGCATAAGCTTAGTGACACTAATACAAAGTGTTACAACTGAAAAAAATCGTACCGACAGTAACATATATCCATATTGGTTTGCCTCATTATGCAAAACTGGCTATTTTGGAGCTATTTATTATCCGATTTGAACAATTTTGGTGTCAAATGATAGAATTAACTTTAATCTAAAAGTTGTTGAGGACAAAATTTTGACCATGTGACCTTGACCTTCGATGACCTTGAAAATTTCACCGTAGGATGTTCTTGACCTCAGCTATCCAAAGGTGTACTCATAATGGTTGAAAAATATTAACTTCTGGTTTAATAGCCATTCAAAAATTAACATTTTTGACAACTTTGGACGGCTGTATGACCTTTTCTAATAAACACTGAACATTTTGATTATCTTTTCGATGATATATGACAATAATCCATTAAAATATGTTTTAAAAATATTAGGTTTTTTTCGACTGAGGGTTCTAACTTACAATGTAATTAACTCCTAGCAATATGGTTTGTATATTCAGGATCTACTCAATTTTCTCTTTTCAACGATATGTGACATGGGTGGTTTAATACAAAATTGAATTTGTGAAAATAGGCATAAAAGTGTTAAATGTTTATAAAAAATGTGATAAAAATCTGTAGATTGTGGGGATTAAAATGATTGACTGGTGTTATAACAGGTTATATAATATGATAGGAAAGCTATCCATATGAACTTTTGACATGCAGGTGTGAAGTAGTTTGGGTCATAAACAGATTAATCTGATTATGTAATCTTTTAACACTTAAAAAAATAACTTTTTTTTTTCAATTTTCACTTACAATAATTTAACATACACCCATATAGAGTAGTGAATTTTTGATACATTAACCTGTTCGAATTTTTTCTGTACCATTAATAGAACTCTATCTGCAAGATACACACAACAGTTTTGGTTATTGCTGTTAGTGAGGCTGAGGGAATAAAAGCAAACAGCTATGATGACACTAGAGATTTCAAATTTTTGAAAGAAAAGGGGCACGGAGGAGTAGTATATTATAAGCAAAACAAAAATGTCAACATTTTAAAATTGGGAGTTTTAAATATAGAACACATTGCTTTGAATAATTTGGACAAACATATTAACGTAATTGTTATCTATAGACCACCCGTTTATCGATTAGATTTATTTCTCCCAATGTTAGAAAGATTTTTAGTTGAATTACCAGAATCTGGTTCAGACTATGTTATTATGGGGGATTTCATCCTAAATATCTTGGAGGGTCATTTGTCTATACTAAATTGTTTTCAAAAATTTGGTTATCAACAACTTGTTCAGCATTACACTACTGAAGGTGGGACACTTATAGATCATGTTTATATCAGTAAAGAAATTCCGTCACATAATGTTCACATTTCACACATACCTGTATATTATAGCTATTAAAATAACCACACGATAAGTTATATTGATACAAGATTGAATTTACCCTTTCACAAAACATTTCATTTGGCTCTTTACTAAAAGTGGTCGAGTCAACACCGGGCTTGAGAGGGTTTGAAGTTCAAAAAAGTCTTACAGCTATCAGGCAAAGTATCACGGGCCACGCTCAGTGCTGTTCACAGTTCTAGTTGTCAAATTGAAATGTTACCAAAAATAGATCAATTTAGATAAAGCTTTTAGCTAGTGTCTCTCTCGTTACGTGTTCAGATTGGGTTATAATTGTTTCTTCCTCCAAATGTCCATAAAGCCCAACATGCATTACCACAATGTATTAGATAATAGAAGAAAGCTTTCCAGGCAAGGTAATATGCGCCCATTGGCAGGTTTGATTTTGAATAAAAATATTTGGCAGTACAGTAACGATCACCAGTATGAAATATTCAACCTTCAGTCATACACTTCTTTTGAACTCTTTGGAGCAATACGGAATAATATTGAGTATGAGTTATTGCCCTTGTTCTTGAAAACGTGTACAATTTTTAGCTCGTGAAAACTCTAGAAGGCAAATATTCAACCTTCAGCGCGGTACTGAATAATAAAACCAAGTTTTGAATCACGCCTTATAGTGTTTTCAAGAACGAGGTCAATAACTCCTATGAAATATTTTTCGACTTTTTTGATTTTCAATAGGGTTCATCCATGGGTGATAATAAAACAATTTCAACAAGTTCTGTAAAAATCTGTAAAGAATTGTTCCTACTTGAATGTTTACGAGCTAAATATTGAACACTTTTTCAAGAACAAGGGCAATAACTCATACTAATCTTTTTTCAATTCTTCTGATTTTCAATAGGGTTCATCCTTGGGTGATAACAAACACTCATGCCAAGTTACGTCAAAATCCGTCAAGAATTGTGCCTTCTAAGAGTGTTTACGAGCTAAATATTGAACGCGTTCTCAAGAACAAGGGCAATAACTCCTACTAAATATTTTTCGATTCTTCTGATTTTCAATAGGGTTCATCCTTGGATGATTACGAACACTTGAAATCCTTCAAGAATTGTGTCTTGTAGATTGTTTACGGACGGACGGACATGGGTGACTGTAATATACGCCCCCATTTCATGTGAGCATATAAAAATTAAATGACAAGCAGTAAGAAAATAACTAATTCACAAAATAGTGTTTAATATCTACTGCCTGGAAGGAAAAACAGACAAGGGCACGTCCGCCGCGGACAACTGTATATAGAGAAGAGTGTTTGTTTCTCTTCGCATGTAGAGAAAAATTGAGATTTTCCGCACCTCCCCAGGAGTTCTTCTTTTACACAAATCTATTTACCTATACATGTATTTGTAGTTCAGTCATACCATTTTCGCCTTGCACCATTCATGTCCATCAATTTTGCCAAACACTTTGGCCATGAGCCATGTTCCTTTAGCAACGGTAATATTTCCCGTGGCTAAAGGAACATGGCCATGAGCCTGATGAGGTTGGGCTATTCTCAATCAGACACATTTATACTTTTGTCTGTCAAAACCAAAGGTATGTAGTGTTGCATTCCCGTTGTAGTGTATAATGCACATTATGATAGCATTCCCTTATCAAACTCTAGCGTTTATCAAAATGAAAGAGGTGTTGTAACATATAAAGAACAAATCATGAACACCTCTCGAAAAACCAATTTATTGTAGGAGGGGAATTCTTGGGCTGAAAGAGGTTTAAGTTCTGAACTTTGACCAACTTCCACGAAATTTCACAAAATTGCCCTACTGAGGTTCACAAATGACTACAGGCATACTTGAACACGTATGCTGCGATTCAAAAGTAAATAAATAGCACAGCGTCATAGAAAATAATTGTCTTATGGCAAACCTGTAAGGAGCCATGTTTCATAATTTATAAATGGTTTCTTAACGGTCATTTTTGGCCCATTTTAGTGAATATAATCTCGAAAGTGTTTCGAAAAATGATCAACATAAAATTAGCGACTGTATTTAAGAATAAATAGATGAGGTTGGTCAAAGTTTAAATTAGTTCAGTGCTAAAATCTCATGATAATATCGTCTTTTTAACTTCTGATTTCACGAAATATCGTCACAATAATATCGCAACGGTATAGCGTTTTTTTCCTCATACATGTTTTTTTGATAATATCGTAATATTGCCCAACTCTAGAATAGGGTCAACTGGTTTTGGACTAGCCTCTATCGTGTCTATACAAGCCAAATGTGACACGTTTTAAGTAGTCTTAAGATGAGTTGTCGCCGACTAGTGTCGTGTTAAGATTTTCATCGAACGGCTGCGGGCACACGAGGAGAAAAAAAAAATTCAGTGTCGATAATTACGTGAAATTGAAACTTGTTTGATATGATAAATCGGCAACGAGATAATCTTGTCGTGATATCGTTAGCACACGCGAGATTCGAGTCGGCGAAAAAATTGTCGACCAAGATTGCTCGTGTGCTTACACAATAAGTCAACAGCAAAACTAGAAAAACGTCAACTTTTAGTACTAAATTCGAACTGAGATATCATCAATATACCACAAGTTTTATCATGATAAAAAAACTGCATATCGTGTATACTGACGGCGGACCGACAGGAGTGACAACATGTAGGCTGTAGATTTGTGTTGCCAGCGGTCTGCCAGTTCCGCGATTTTAAAGTTAATATTATGGCGACTGTGATGGATCCGATGAGACAAACAGCCTGCAACATATAATGAATGAGAGCCATTATTTACTGGAACTATGTCCACATTGTCACGTGATCACGTGACTCTGGTAATTTGAATATCAGAGGCTGGCCGTTCAGGACTACAATTGCTGTCAGTCAAATACCGAAATTGACACCATCACACGATGACGGAAATGCTCTAATTCGGGTCAGATCGTATAAATATCGGACCATTCGTGAGTAAAATACTAAAAATATTTACACACATCGTTTCATTGTATCAACTTCCGGTTGACTTGGCAGTAAATATATATAGGTTAATACGATTGGTCAGCTATAATTACCTGTCGGGTAAAAACAAAAGTGAAAGTAAAAACATGACTTTTCGATATATTCAATTACTAAGAAAAACTTAGTTATATTAGCGATTTCCATTCTTCAAAAATATATAAATAATGAAAATAACAACACAGTAACTTTACAGCATCATTTATTTTTTTTAATAAGATAACATTCTGCCCTGAAACACTTCAATGCTTTGTAGAAACGCCACTGGACATCACGATAGGACCACGATGTCGGAGAAGACTGTCGAATTTGAATACTTTTGAATGTATAGTGTGATGATCTAATATTCTAATATATCTATTTTTCAGATTGTCAGGATTTAAAAAACAGAGGGATACGAGATCGTGGTTTATATCCTGTCAATCTTCTACCAAACAAGCCACCAATAAACTTGACTTGTTTTTGGGGAAGAACTGTTGTCATGTACCAAGACATAAATAAGGATGTTAACTTCACTTTTAAACGTTCTTGGGCTGAATACCGAGATGGCTTCTATGGTGAAGACAATTTTTGGTTGGGTCTTGAACTCATGCATATTTTAACTACACAAAAATCTCAAAATACGTTGGATGTTAGTGCCAGGATTGTCAATCCTGGCGAAGAACAGGAAAAATATTTAAAAACAACTTTCACCGGTTTTAAGGTAGATGGGGAGAATACAGAGTTTTTAATGGGGTATGGTGGAACACAATATGTTGGTAACTATTTGGGTGAACTGTTAAGAACTCTTAACAATTCACGATTTAGTACCTATGACCGTGATAATGACCAACTGGCAATAAATTGTGCAATGAAGTATGGTGGAGGATGGTGGTATAACAACGCTGGTACATTTACAAGGGGGTCTGCACCAAATGAATTCCAATTCGAATGTGCCCCTGCTAACCCTACAGGTTATTTTTGGAATCAATGTGAAGATTGTACCAGTGAAGTAAAGGATATATCCACTGGATTAGTTTTTAATGGCACTGTTCGAATGGTTGAAATGATATTAGGGACATGATAATTTATTGAAAGGTCACACGAGTGGAACATACATTATTATGTTCAATACCATTTCAATTGACATCATCAGAAAATCTGTGTTTGGCCCAATATTTGACCTTATATATCATAATCATTTTTAAAATCTTTCAATTGAGTTTTGTTTCATATTTATTTAATTTAATTTAAATTTTAATCAAATCAGTTGAAAGTGTACAATTTTTTCTGACCAAGGATATTTCCACAGCTGCACAGTTGAAAACAGTAGAGACAGTAGAACAACATGTAAATAGAGCTATTCAAACATTTGTTAACAATGAATTAAACCAATGATGACTGAATTGAATTTTCTTTTCCACGAAAAGCACTATATAAATTGTTTTCAAAGTCAATTAACCAATTTGGTCTATTCTTCCACAAGTTACTAGTTGATAACTCAACGAGTGAAATTATTCTCGAAAGAATGTCTGCTGGGTTACATTGTCCTAACTAGTGACCCAAAGAGTCAACGTACGTTGAAGTGTCAAAGTACGAATTAATGAGATTTTCAGCGTGACTCTGATCCAAGACAATGCAACTTTAGAGTCTGTTCAACATATAGTTTTATGAATATCATTGTCATCTACTAGGGCTCTATTTAGGAAATACCAGGCGTTCACTTGAAGAGATTCTACAATTTAGGCTGTCAAGGTTATCTCCCTTAAGTGCGATGTCCCAGTCACAATTTACACAGTTGTTGATTGACCTGATTTGTAACTGAAGATAAATGACCGAAAGGGTTACAATATTTCTTGCTTGGCAACCATTCTTGTCTAAATCTGCTATTTCCTTTAAATCGAAACAAAACAGACTTGAACTGAAGTCCCATCTAACACTTTCTTTTGTAAACGAATTAGTAGCACCTAAAACATTTAACCATAAGACTCCTCGTCGATATTAACTTGATTGTCTGCTTCTGGATTACATTAGTGGTTTCATTGGTATTGTCTCAAAATAAAAACCTTCCTCTCAAGCAGTATCAAACTCGTTTGCTCCCAAAAGCAAATTGTCCGCGTATATCGAGCTGCCCCATTTTGGAGGTTAATATGAGTCGCATAATTCCTTCAAAAATATCTCACACAAGAAATTTCGGTTCCTGTTTCTACAGGTGTCTTTTTCTCTATATGGACTCACTCCACTAAAACATTTTATGCAAATGATTGTATAGTCCAGGCTATTTTTAGAAATCTTCTTTCTCTCTCCCTTTTGGTCTTGATTTGGAATTTGATGTCTGAAATTAAATTATCTTTAAGATTTGGGGAGTTGATGAGAGACCTAAAGGTGGAAGGCTAATTCTAAAAGTAGTCGTTTTGTCTGCCAAACCCTAGCGGATGAGTATAACCGGTAGTAGTCTACTTTCAATTTTAGTAGCTCAAAATTTTCATGGTAATCATAATATATTGAATTTTTTAGGAGACATTGAGGATTGGTCAGGCTTTCATTCGACTTATTGGAAAGCTTTCAACGAGATTTCTGGAAAAAGTTGTAGAAAGTTGAATTTCGTGTTTTAACATGGGAAAAGATGGCAAATGAATTAGTGGACTGAGTCCGGCAGTGTCTCAAGAAAAGACAACTCATATTTCGACAGTGAGCTGTGAACACTATTACTGATTGGTCTAGCAAAAAAAAAAATCCTGTTTCTGGCACTAGGGTATGATTGGTCATAATATTTTATGAAAAGATTGTGGGTATTCTTCGGTGTACTGTTTTAAGATAATTTATATAGTTTTATTCAGTAAGAATGGGCTTGAAGATGTTACTCTCGCAAATCTTAAAGTTAGTCCAAAAGAAAACGTAGCACAATCAAGAATGCCTTTCACTATCACCTGTTTAAGCAATTCTTTTAAATCTGAATCGGAAAAATGTAAGAAACCATTTTCAGTTTATATTCTGGTTCTCTGCAACCTTTTCAATAGATTCGTTTCAGGCTGGTGTTACTGTCCGGAAGAAGAATACCCCAATGTGGGCAATTAGAGGAGTTCTCGAACTCTAGTCGAGATGTAAGTTTGGATACCAGTAGCTCAACTAGAAGAGTAAGGCCCGTGGAAATATTAAGAACTAGTTGTAGTTGAGCCACTTTTGGCAACCACACTCTGGAAAAAGACACTGATTTGGAGAATATAGGCCATACAACTTTTCGGCAGTCAGGGGTTGTTGATTTCACATACAGTACCATTTTCAGTTCGATATTGAGATTGTTTACTTTGTGCCAATTGATAATATTGTTTGTCTCCTCTTAATTACAGCTTTCAAGCTTGTTGCAATGCCTTCTGGTAACGCTCCTCAGCCAAAACTGTACATGCCTCACACTATCTGACATTATTATCTGTATAGCCTTGGTGCTCTTTGTTGGTTAAATGTAAAATGACGCAATTTCGTCCAGCCGGAAATGACGTTAGAAAACAGCCGATTTTTAGGGTTTTTACATTTAAAGATTTATTTTTGAAATGATTTTGATGTCTCTGTTTTTTTCATCTTTTATGGGCCATAGCTACTAGATAGCACTCTCAGAATATGCAACTTTTGACTTTTGTCGCAATTTTTTCGATTTTTTTTAAATGGCCAACTTTTTTTTAAACAATTTTTCAAGATCAAGATATTTTTAAAGGGACATTCCGCTTTTTTTTGGAGGTCGGAATTTTTATTTTGCTCAAATTTGCGAAAACTATACACCAAAATCGAAAGAAATTGAACGTATCTGGAAGTTTTAACTAAAACTAAAGCCGTTAATTTTTAAATGCCAAAAACATTTTAAAACATTACGTAAGGTTTTTTAAGTTTTTTTTTTTTGCGTTTTGGAAGCCGTTTGAAAACTACTGTACAGATTAGATTAAAATAAACGCTTAACTGTAGAGAAATTTTAATCCTATGTATTCTTAAAGTTTCAACTAATAATATCGAGCCATTATCAAGCCAAACACTAAAACTAGGTCAAACTGCTTAATTAACTCTTTTAAACCAATTCAGTTTGATCAAGAAGATACATAGATATAAATAGCATACTTTAGAAATATTTTCAGCGAACGTTAACTTGTCATCTACCAACGAACCAAAGATATAATTTGGAGTTTTATCCAAAAATATATTTACCTTTGTCAAGCGATGTTAACTGCTGGTTCCAGAGCCATTTGAAAATAGCGATTTTTATCTTGAAAGTGCTCTGTCACGTGACCTTATTAATACATCCAAAATTTGAAAATTTTGCACTGTGCGTGAAATGGTTTTTGCCGAATAATCTCAAAATTTTAACGTATAACGAATATCTCAAGATCTTATAATTGTAGACGCTTGAATTTTGAACATTAGTTAACAATGTAGACATGATAACGAACATAACAGAATTTTTGAGTTGGGCGTAGCACATCCAGGTTAGATACACGTTTCCTTAACGTATTTGCGATTTTTTATAACTCGCAAAGTATGCATTTGTCAATTTTAAAACTTTGAATTAAAATAGGACACTACTTTGGCCAAAGGCACGGTTGTCTGGGACTTTTATCTAAAAAAAAGGAGTATTTACAATATTTTATTTTTTGACCTTTAACATGGATGACGTTGACCTATTCAAGGTCAAAGTTCAGTGATCTAGGATGTCCATTTATACTTTTATCTTTGATGTCCGACGTTTAGGCTACCGCCCTAAAACAGCAACCTTTTAAAGCATATATCTCTTTTATTTGACTTTTGTTGATCTTTGACCAGTACAATAGTAATTATGCTTAACGAGATCTATCTAAAAATATCTTCATTATACTACCGAATGTTATACAATTTATGCCTCTTTTCCCTACCGAAAGTTAAATGGTTTATCGACTTTTTACTGCAGAAGTACCATATTCGAAAATGTTGTCACTGTTGTACTGAATCTTTGCCAAAATTTTACTTCTTTAATTTGTAATAGAATTTCATGAAACTGGGTAGATGGGTAGGGGCCAAATTATCGATTATGATGTCAAAAAAACATTATTCGACAATTTACAGAAAAAAGGCTGAAATGACAGAACATCACAAAAAAGTTTTCGAACTATGTTTTGCATAAAACTTGCAAATATATAGGCTAATTCCACAAAATTTGCACCCATAATATATTGTATTAAAATGTAAATTGGAAAAATACCTAGGTACTCTTGAATTTCGTATTTGTTTCCTGTCCTTTTTTTCTGACGAGTCACAATTCAAGTATTGATAACATTTGACCATAAGCTTCCAACAACCTTCATCTTTCTACTTCAGTATCTCCTTTAACTAGATTGTCATTTGAGATCTTATTTTTTGATATTGGTACATAACCTTTTGACTCCGAAAATGGTTAATTTGCATATTTTTCGAATCATCAGAGGATTATATTATGAAATTGGGCCTTTTTAACATTCAAATTCATGTTATTGTATTGTGCTTGTCATAAGCTTTCTAACAATGTCTTTATTTTAGACCTAACACTTATAAAAACATGCATTAATATAGTTGATTTTTTATATATTTATATGGACTCTTGATGGAGTTCTAATTGATTGAGCGGAAAATTAGAACAAAATTCATAATGCTGTTTTTGACAGCTTTAAATAAATACATGGTAAAATTTGGTAAATTAAGTTCTGATTAACCTAGCGGACTATTTCGAACAGAATAATAATGTGCAAATGCACAGCTTTAAATTGATATATTACATAATATGCTTAAACACATTTTGAGAAAATATTTAAAAAAAACCTATTAATTAAGTTCAGATTTTATAGAGTTAAAGAGATTATGTAACAGGTCATAAAGTCAAAGGGTGCTAATTTCACACCTTCGTAGTTTTTGTGGTATTAAGCTAAGATTCCATATACGCGTCATGCGGATCCGTCATGCGTCATCCGTCATGCGTTAAAAATCGAAATGGTTGGTTTAAGAGGGTATGATTCCATATATGCGGAAACGGTATCCAACAAATGGTCTCCGTCATGCGTCAAAAAAAAAAAAATCGCCAGGTGTAGCGAT